GTTGAGTTCCATTTTCATTCGGATTAGGAATACTGCGCACGGCCCGCAGTTGTTGGATCTCATGCTCACATTCGGCGAGCTACCGGTGTAGCAACTCGATGTCGGGCTGGTTGACTTGCTGCGGAATGACGCCATCCTCATTTATGTTCTCGGACTGGCGTTGCGCTTGGAGTTGTTGAATTTGCTCGCCTCTGGCTGCGAGCTGCGTTCGCATTCTCTCAATTTCTTCATTCTGCGTACGTAACGTTTGTTCTTGTTCTTGTGTGAGTTGTCGCAACCGCTCCGTCTCGTTATCGTGATGCAAAACTATTGTTACAGTATTAGAATTGCGCGAATTTTTCTTTTGCCTAGTCGCCAAGTTCAAATCAATGTTTCTCTGTCGCGATAAACGACCTGACTTAGTCACATAAATATGCCTCTTATCAGTCATGCGTTATTGTAGTTCGTGAGTAAACTAGCCTAAAAGTTGTAGCGCCAATGTAAATTTCCAAGAGGATAATCAATACAATTAGTTATGTTATTATCAAATTAAATAACACGAAGGATAATAAAGCAAGAATAATAATTTTCCGGCGTGAATGACAAAGGGACATAATGTAAACCAAGTGATAGATTTATCTTATAATCACTTTATTTAATGAGTCGACTCTCCGCGATATCATAATTACAATCATTATTTTAACGCTATACTAAACTAAAGATTTTGGTTTCTCCCATCTATATATTAATTACAATCGTCCTTCGTTAAATAATCTAAAGGTACTGTATACGGCACGACTCACGCTAGTCTCTCATATAAACACTAAATCTAAACAATCAAAGATCAACGGCGAGGCGGGTAACGATTAGTCGCTTACTTTTGTGTACGACGAGTGAACAAGTATGTTGGTTCAATAGTTCGTTCAGCACGCTGTCTCCTCGCTGCCACCTTATGCGCTGACCCTCCAATCTTGAATATCGTTGTAATTGCCCAGATTCCTTGGTCAATATAATGTCGATACGTGGTATTAGTCCAGAACTGGGGACATGAGCCCTGCTCGGAGGTAGATGTTGCTAGGTGAACGGATGGCGAACGAAAGAGAGCGAGCTCACGGCGACCACGAGCAGTAGAACGCGCCTCTACCCCCGCCGAGCAGGTCAACACATTGACGGCAGATCGAGCGCAGAACGGGAGCGAATGTTCCATTTTACATATATACCACGGTGCGCTGGAAGTGCCTTTGAATCGAAGGTGAAGAGCACATCCAATTTTACTGCATAAATAGATTCTACGGTACTTACTGAGTAACTCTCTGCAAAAATTAAAATAATCCCCAGGGGCGTTTTTATTTTTTTTTAGTTTTATGCTTAGAAAATCAAATATTGAGACGTACAAAAAAATTTGACGGAACGTGGCCGGTAAATTTATTTAACAAAATAATATTGACTTACTAGCGACATCTCATAAAAGTATAGAAACATATACAATGATAATATGACAGTTTTCATAGCTTTTAAAACTGACTTTGCGAGTTTATACAATGTGTATACGTAACCAATACATCGAAATGCTAGGAGTCTAGGTCTGTTTACAAATATATAAAGTGAACGAAAAATGTATTCAGTATCTAATTGTAAGTTGAAGACGCTACATGAATCAAGTTTGAGTAGCAAGTATTTAATATTTTCGCGAATGTAATTGTTTAAAATAAAATTCCATTTATTTACAAGATGTCTAGAAAGACTAAAGACCACATACTGACTCACTCTGAAAATCGAGAAAGGATTTGTTTATTGTGTCTAAAGAAAAAGTCTGATTTACAAATAATTTCTGGAAAACTACTATTAAAAATTTGTGATACATTTGATAGCTATGACAGTGTAGATATTGGACTTCCAAATGTTATTTGTACCAATTGTCGAATTCGTGTTTATCGTCAAAAGGAAAGTGGACAATCAAATATAAAATTACAGTTACCTGACTATTCAAAGTGGACTCTACCAAAACAAAACACTAGATTTAGTGCAGAAAAGAAATGTGTATGTACTTTGTGTGAAAAAGTAAGGAACCTTGGTCAGTATAACTTTTCCAAACCTGGAAACGGTCGTCAAAAAAGAAAAAAATGTGCAGCCAATGTTTGTGCTAAATGTTTGAATAAGCTGTCAAAAGGTCATACTCATAAATGTAATGCGTCAAGTAGTTATAATAATCTAAAAGACTATGCCTGTGATAACTTAACATTAAGACAGAAAGAACAGTTAACAAGTTCATTGTTGAAAAATATATCTTCAAATAAAAATGAATCTAATAGTGAAGTGAATTTATCTCAGAAGCATGGGCCACCTGTCACAGTTGCTATTATTAATAGTATTACTAAGAAACGTAAACACACTGAACAGATATCTGTCGAAGATATGGCTAGTATAGCAACAGAGAATAATTTGTCAACACGGAAAACTCTAAAAATAGCTTCAAGGATTCGAAGTGCAGCAAAGAATAGAAATATTATTGAACCAAATTTGATAGAAAAATTGAAGTACAACAACCATAGACTCGATAATTTATTTGAAATCCAGAAAGTAAATTTGTTAACATCAAAAAAAGGAAATCAAATTATTAATGTAGATAATATAATTATCTGTAATGATGTAGGTAAACTGATTCAGCAAATCAAGTCGTACAGAAAAATTGATGATGAAGTTCATTTGAAGTTCGGAATCGACGGTGGAGGAGGGTTCCTCAAGGTTTGTTTATCATTGCAATTAGTCAATCATAGTACAAGCGAACTTACAATCAAAAAAAGAAAGCCTTTTACTAAAGATGTACGATCCAATAAAATGAAAGACTCAGGAGTAAAGAAATTATTTTTAATTGGGTTGACTGATGTTTCTCAAGAAAATTATGAGAATGTTGAAACTTTATGGTCATTACTAAAAATTCGAAATTTTCCAGATTGTACAATTTCAACTGATTTAAAATTGGCTAATATTCTCGTTGGGTTAATGAGTCATGCCAGTACATTCCCATGTACGTGGTGTACAGCAAAAAAGGACACTTTGAATTTATGTGGACAGTATAGAACAATTGGCCATTGCATGAACAAATACAAAAAGTGGGTTAAAAGTGGAAGCCAGTCAAAAGATGCAAAAAATTACGAATGTTGTGTTCATTCTCCGATTTGTTCAACAAAAAAGGAATTAGAAATTATAGATTTAATACCACCAACAGAACTGCATCTCATGTTAGGTGTTGTGAATCATTTATTCAAAAAAATGTCAGTAGAATTTGAAAAGAATAGCTTAGATTGGGCTAAAAAATGCAATGTTTCACAAGATTTCTACAATGGAGTTTCTAGTTTTGCTGGAAATGCGTGTCACAGTCTATTAAAGAAGGTAGACATTTTGCGCTCGATTGCAGACATTGGTTGTTTGAAATTTGTTAAGTGCTTCGAAGATTTTTGCAAAGTAGTCGATTCTTGTTTTACAGTTGAACTTGATCCAAATTTCAGTTTATACATCGATAATTTTAAAAAAAGTTACGAAGATTTAAATATAAGTATCATTCCAAAAGTACACGCAGTGTTCTTTCATGTCAAATATTTTTGTGATAAAGCTCAAAGAGGACTCGGTTATTTCAGTGAACAAGCAGTGGAGTCTGTTCACTCTGATTTTGAAAACACTTGGAAGAAATATAAGTTAAATAAATCCCACGAAAATTATGCTGCAAATTTACTCAAAGCGGTGCAAGAATATAATAGTCAACATATATAGTTCGTTATTCTTTGTTTGTTATAGTTTGTTATTGGATATTTAATGTATATATTTCAAATATACACACATATGTATATATGTATAGATTTGATATAGATGTGCACATACAGTCCGCAGATGTTAATTATTCAGTTAATAAAATGTTATACGATTTTTTCTACATCATCGAATTATTTCACCGACCACGCTCCGTCAAATTTTTGTGTACGTCTCAATATTTGATTTTCTAAGCTTAAAACTAAAAAAAAATAAAAACGGCCATGGGGATTATTTTAATTTTTGCAGAGAGTTACTCAGTAAGTACCGCAGAATCTATTTATGCAATAAAATTGGATGTGCTCTTCACCTTCGATTCAAAGGCACTTCCAGCGCACCGTGCACTATAATTCGTACAATCGAAAAAAGATTTTGACTGTGGTATATTATAATAAATTTATCAGTCATCATAATTTATCATTTAATTCTTCCTTACTATATTAGAATTTCAACTTTTTGTCATAACCAAGTATTGTAGTAACATAACTTACTCTAACTAGTAGTAACTACTTACTCTAAGTAGCATAACGTACATGCCATCTGCAACGACGATGTCGGGCATCAGAGAAGCAAAAATTAGCGGCCTCGCGAACATCTTGGTCTTGCGTGCAATGCATAGATTATTAGGTTAAATTCGACTTATTTCGTCTTTCTCATTTGTCACGATCAACAAACACACTTGCTTGTTCATATTTGTATCCTAGTGTGCTTCTAAAATCTCTCTGCCAAATTGTTATCATATAGGGTTGTCGCCGAAAGACGAAACAACCTAACCAATTTTATTCTATTTCTTGTCACGTTTATATTCGCCTAGCTAACTTCCTAATAATCCACGTTCGCAGCAGTGAACTTTTAACGCGATTCTTTTTATCTTTTGTTTTGCGTTGTGATTTCGCGTTCATTTTCGGGCGTGTTAAACGTGTGCGCGCGAGCACCGAACATATCAGGAGCGGATCATGGCGGCGGTTAGTCATATAGATGAAAGATCTATAATGGCATTGAAGAATATCTTGAATTAATTTTCCATTACAGTATAATATAAATATGTAAATATAAATAAGTATATGTACATATATACACATAATGATTATGAGAAAGAATCGACTTTTTTCTAACTATTGAATTTAAGTTTGACTATTTTGACCTAATTATTTTTTTTTCTTTATATTTTTCGTTTAATTATACTAAAAACTAAGAAATATTCAACTACATACCTCATATGTATTGTCAGGTTTAAGAATAAGAGTATATAAATGCGTAAACATATCATCTTTACAACGTATATCCTTATTAATCAAATGATTTTTTCCATTATAATTGAAAATTACATGCACTTTTTTTGTTCCAGGGCCACAAATATCAGGACCTGGAAAAATAAATCAAAGATATATATGTATATATATATATACATATGTATACATGTATATTGCATATGGATTATTGTAATAATTTTTTTATTTTAGCTGCCCCATTCAGTTAAATAATCATGCTAGTGCTTTCATATTAATGATAGAATAAGTTAAGAGAAATATCCAGTTATTTCACATTTTTCCAGAGAGTACGCATTCAATCACTTCTATAAAAAATGAATCATTTTGACCTTGTTGATTCAGATTATAGAGTAACTCCTTGACATAATTTCAAGAGTGCGAACTTTAAATTTTTACAAAATAACACTTCCATTTTTGGAAATAAAGTTAGAAAAAATTGGAAAAAATATTTCAAAAAGTCTTGAAAAATGCTATATGTAAATGCCATTAAAAAATTTTTTACATCACTTTTTTGCAAAGTTATAATAAGAAAAGTCACAGATTTGTTTCTCCAACGTTACAGTTAAATGGTCAGAAATATTTATTTACGTTTTCAAGTTTTGTAATTGAATATAAATTCTAGAGAGTATAATATTCAATATATTTATGTCACACATCAGTAGATAATCGATATTCAGCGAGTAAAAACAATGAGCGAGAGGCGATTACAAATTCCAACGTTACGTAATTTAGGCATTTCTTTGAATGAATTTGGAAAAATATTGCATCTCCCTTTCTGTCGAGTGTAAAAAATATTATTGAAAAGTAATGTACATGACTTGAAAATATGTAAAACAAAAAAAGAATATTTTAAAAATAGTGCTTTATTGAAAAAAGAAAGGGTGTACAAACTGTAGTTTTACGAAATAAAGGTTTTTTACGAAATGGCCACCTTAAAAAACGTCAAATAAAAGAAATGAGATTATTATTGTGTTGAGTAACATAACAGAAGATGAACTATTCCTAAAATACGAGGCCTATTCCAAAAGTATCCGACCTACCTCGATTTTTCGGCGCTTGATTTAATTTTCGTCATTCTAGGGATGACATCCTTTAAAGTCATCCCCATTTTATTAAATAAGACGCTCATATCGATGCTTCCACTTATTAAAGTACTCTTGAAAGTTAGACTTCGGAATCGCCTTTAGTACATTCATCGCATTAGTTTCAACAGTCTCTCTATCGTTAAATCGATGTCCTTTAAGCGGCATTTTCAATCGAGGAAATAGCCAAAAGTCGTAAGAAGCTATAAGGATTGATGCGTGCGCTGGAGCATTGTCGTGATGAAGAAGCCAGTTACTAGTTTCCCAAAGTTGCGGTCGTTTTCTCCTGATTACATCACGCAATCTTTTCAAAACTTCAACATAGTACTTCTTGTTGATTGTATGACCTGTAGGAGCATATTTATGGTACACAACACCCCTATAATCGAAACAAACAATCAACATTGACTTGATGTTGTTTCGACTTTGATGAGTTTTTTTCGGCCGAGGATCGGATAAAAGCTTCCACTACGAAGATTTTTGTTCCGCACAACTTATTCCGAGATAAAAGAAAAATTTTATGCCTATTTGCTGTTCAGCTCATTTTTGCCATTTTTAGTAATAAAAGAATTGCGAGAAATGCAAAAAAGTCGTAAAAAAATACACGTTGCGCAGGAACTAAGGCGTTTCATCGGTATCTCGAGCTATTGACGAGAAATTTAGAAGTTGATGGTGACGTTCGTACCCTCCAGATGTCGCCGCACGAAGATATGAACGTAGGTCGAATAATTTTGGAACAGACATCGTAACAATTATTTTCACACCAACGAAACGCTATTTATATAAAGCTAATTTGACTGTACAAATTACTGCTAAAAAGCCTCTACTTTGATCCATTAATCGTATCTGCCCGCGAAACTTTCACCTGGACTTTTTGTCAGAAGGAGAGGATTCCTGTAAGCACGTCCTTATCGCTTGGCTCCATGACATCACTTGCAAGCTTATTCACCCCAGCGTGCTCAAACTGGTGAAGGGGACTCTAGCTAAGTGCAACAGCTGAAGCTCTTTCACAACAGACAATGCCTGGTATGCCGGCAGTAAAGCAAGCTATCGGCAAACAGCAGACGACATCTCTCAACTCCATGACACCTCGCGGGCCTTTTCACAGTAAGCATCTTGGAAAGAATGAGAAAATGGAAATTGAAATTTTCCGATAATGAAGGTCTGAGCATTGAGCAATTGGTGAATAGGGTCGAAGAAATCCGACGCTTAGACAAAGTAACAGATAAAGAACTGATGACACCTTTATTGGAAAAATCAGCACTTTTTTGGTATAACGCCTTAAGGCCGCCGTGGAATACATTTAGTACTTTTAAAAAGCCTACCCTTATGATCTATAGTAAGTCTAAGAGAAATAAAAGGAGTCTAACAATAGAAGCACATCTAAGAACATAAGCCACTGATGAGCCTGTACTTGGATATGCCATTTCGCTGCTTATGATTATAAAAAGATTTGATCCACCTTGAGGCATGCAAGACTAGGTCAATTTAATCGTTGATGATATGCTGCCTAAATCGAAGAAAAAATTGAAAGGTGTTAAGGACTATCTCATCGACCAGAAAGTGCTCTTGACAAAAATCCGGGTTGCCGACGAAGACGTGAGAAAGGCCAGTGAAAGTCTCCACCTTTAACTGATCAAACCATACACTCGAAAGCAGCTTATAAATCGTGAACGAAAGCAGTAAAGGCTAAGCTGGCGAGTTTGTCTTCTTTAACTGAAAAAAATCTAACCTTCTACTAAGTCTGAGATGAAAAAGATCATAATTAATTTCCTTGAGAAGAAACAAGGGCGTAAGGCGTCTCCAAGTTACCTGCTGTGATAATAGCTATAGACCAAGGCTCCGACAAAAAGACTAATCTTGACATTTTTGCAAAAGCGACTCTCTGCAATTCAAATGAAGATTCGCCTCGTGATAATTACCACTCAAGGAGGCTGGAGAGGTAGACGAGACTTGAAACGTCCAGAGGGTAACGCGCCCTCACCATTACTCCCACGTCCGATAAAAAGAAGAACAAAGAGGTTGATCCAGAGGGTTACTAATCCTCTATTGGAAATGAAATTAACCAGGCTATACCAAGTATACCTGTCCACAATAGTCACCCAATAAAAGAAAACAAGGAATCAAAAAACGAAAAAGGGAGCGTGTAGATGAAATTCCTACCATTCTCTTGGCCACTAGAATCCTGCTGATCCTAGTCAACTCTTTTGAGGTGCAGCCAACCAGTGATGAAGGTACTGTAGCAAGCGCCCTAATTGAAAGGTCACCAGGTGATGGCTGACAGTAAATGTCGGTAAATACAAATCTAGAGGACTCTGAAATACTGGAGCTTCTCATACTGTCCTTGGCTCAAGTGCCCTATAAGTTTCTACCGATTTAAATCAGTGAATACAAACATGTGGGCCCTGGGGTGAAAGCGGTTGATATCAATTATGTACCCGTGGTAGGTAGCGTAAATTTATTCTTCACGATTTGAAGAATTATCAATACGGAAATCAATAGGAAGTACACGCCAGATACCGCCTTCAAACGCACCGTTTCGGCTATCTTAGATCCTAAAACTAACAGGCTGATATTTGAGGGCTGCGAAGAAATGTGCATGCCTGCACATTTATCTACTGAAGAAACCGAGGTGATAATGGCTTTAGCAGTGGTGGGGACCGAAGATCTCAATGCAATCTCAACATCAGGAAAAGATTAATCAATTTATGCATGATTTGCTCTGTGATCCGTCCGGTAGAAGAACACCTCCGTTCCTGAACCAAGCGATGAGTCTCTCAGAAAACGTACAATAGACGCAGGTTGTCGATCCTGTTAAGGGTCCTGGGGTGTCAGCTACACGAAAACATCTTAATATAGTTTGCCAGCAATGCTACGGAAGGACAGTAGGCTGAGGCCAAGAAGGAAGCTTATGCTCGCAAAAAAGCCTATGTTAGGCAGGATAAAGCTTATGCGGAGGTGCTGGTATTAGCCCGTCATCCAGATTTCCGAGTATACTTGACCGTACCCCTGGACTTTTTGTCTAAAATCAAGGAGACAGTCCAGCTTGCGAAGTACTTGAATAACTGAAGCCAAATTCAAGTACGAGAAGAAAATAAAAGCCAAGAGACTTCACGTGCTTTGGAAACAGGAAAGGAAGCGACAAAAATTGCGGACCCTGGAGGAGCAATTAGAAATTCAGCAGGCTAAGGCCTTCAGGATATCCCGCACGTCCATGCCTCCACTCACCACCACCAAGATAGACCCTTAATGCTCTTCGGAATGTGAGGTGCATCCCCGATACCAGACACGGCTTCACCGTTATACCGCGGATCCACGTAACAAATATGAAAGTTCGAGACCAGATCTTAAGTACGCACAGTTTTGCTTCGCCAGTATTCTGATCGGAGTGTCATGGACTTCAACTTGCCGAACTTTTACTAGCGTTAAAAGTTCGATCAAGGGCTAATGCCTAAGTACGATTATATCGGCAAATATGAAGCGTTACTAATCCAGCTCAGCGAGTCACTCCCCATGCCACGAGGCTAACGGATCAAGAAAACTAAAGAAGGATTCGCTTGTTTAGTTTATTGCCGCGGATCTTCTTTAGATGATCACACCATTGCGCTATATGTATAATATATTATCAGTTTAAATTTCGCTACGAGGTTTTGTACTTTGGAACTCCCACTTTTCTTCATTTGAAGTGCAAGCACACCTAACTTAGTTATAAGATTATATATACTATAAGAGAGACAACATTAGACAAACTACTTCAAGACACCTATGGCTTACAATGACAATAAAAATTTATTTATTTTTCGTATCTGGAGATTTTATTATTTTAGAAAGAGTTTAAGGTTGGAGTAGGTACCATCCTCTTTACCAACGTCAGGCAGTGAGGGATATAAGGCATTTGTAATCGCTTTGTTATGTCTCTCTTTCTCCGCATGAATTGTGGATAAGGAATTATTATTTACCTATGTTATATATTATTCAGCAGCAGCAGCGGACGCAATTATATACCTGGATAT